GAAGCAAATACAGTTGTCCTTCCACATTTGCGGATTTGACTTAAGCGGATTTGATTTTTGCAGATTTGATTAATATGTTCTTTCTAGGAATCTCTAGGTCCTCCAGTGTGACTCTGTTGTCAGCTTCTTCCACAAGTCATGCTGGAGGACCTAGAGGTGCCTAGAGAGAACACTTCTCTAGGCATTTGTAGGTCTTCCAGCATAATTTTATGGTCAACTTCTGGAAGATCTTGACCATAGAATTGACCTTGAGGACGTAGAAATTCCTAGAAAGGTGTTCTCTCAGGTAAAAGTAGTGTGGTTTTTTTTATTTGTGGTTTTTCCACTTTAACAGGGTTCCTGTGCCTCTTATCCTAGCAAATGTGGAGGGTCTGCTGTAGAGTAGGATGGGGAAGGTAATGTGGCATGCAATATTCTCCCAAATACAGTTGCCCCTCCGTTATCGCGGGGGATTTCCAGGACCTTCCCCCCCCCCCCCGCAAAAACAGAAACTTGCATATATTCAAGCCGCATTGGCTTGAATGGCTGTGCGCTCCTGCGTACGCCATTTTAGCCATTGGGGCTCGCCCCTCCATGAATAATCGAGATCACGGATTTCAAGTCCACAAAAATGGAGAGGTGACTGTATTTTACTCCAAGACCACATGTTGTCTTTATAATTTTCAATAAAACGATGGTTTATATTTTGTATCTCAAGACTTAATTCTGAAAGCTGTGTTAAAATGGAATTCAAATCTAATTGAAGGAAACTTTGAGTGATTTGTTTTACAGAATAATTCTGGTAAAACAGTGGGTGAACAAAATGAGAAGCTAGGAATCTGCAGTGTGTTGCATGCTGCTTAAATGCTCCTACTTGGAATGAGAACGGCTGAACAAACCATGAAGTTCATCTGTTATGTTTCCTAACAGCTTCCTGTCTCTGGCTTGTTCACTTCCAGCAACCTGAGAAAGAATCCAGAATTTATTCTTGGTTTTCCCCTCTGGCTTGTCAGAAGAGAACAAAGCAGAAATGGGCAGTTGCACACTACCAGACAACGCAGTAAACTAACTGTGCTTGAAGTTCCATGGTTTAACTGCTCCTACTGTAAGTGGGAGTGATTAAGTAGCATGCACTAGCTTGCTGATAGTTAATGACAAGTCAGGGTTTCAGTGGTTCTTTGCCTTATCTTATTGTGCAAGTGCAGGCAATGTGTTCAGATTAACTCTTTCATGTATTAGGTTACAGTTCATGTCTAGTTTATTACACACTTTAAGGGCACTGTTGAGACACTGTACATTGAAGAAAAATAGAATAAATGAGAGCAGGAATGCATTTGAAGCCTCAAATAATTGAAATACATACACAGAGAACCTTCGGAGCTTAAAACATATTTTCTATGCTCATTTGTTGTCTTTACCAATAAAGTTATTTATTCATTTATTCAGTTTATATCACACCTTTCTCCTTATGTAGATAGGACCCAAGGTAATTTTCTTTATGTATTGATGTTTAAAATTGGAATATATCCAGTGTATCTAGTTTGAACATCTGCCCAGGGATCTTGTATTTATTACCTTTGAGACTAAGGGCCTAAACAGACTGCCAGAAATAATGCAGCTTGAGACCACTTTAACTGTCCTGGCTCAATGCTAGGGAATCATGGGAATTGTAGTTTTTTTGAGACATTGAGCCTGCTCTGTCGGAGAGCTCTGGTGTCACAATTCCCATGACTCCCTAGCACTGAACCAGGAGAGTTAAAGTGTTCTCAAGCTGCATTATTTCTGGCAGTCTGTAAAGGCCCTTAGAGGACTTAAGACCTGAACAGACTGCCAGAAACAGTTCAGCTTGAGACCACTTTAACTGCCCAGGCTCAGTGCTAGAGAATTATGGGAGCTGTAGTTTATTGTGGCATCAGAGCTCTTTGACAGAAAAAGTTCATTGTCTCAGAAAAAAACTACAATTCTCATGATTCCCTAGCATTGAGTTAGGACAGTTAAAGTGGTCTCAAGCTGGACTATTTCTGGCAGTCTGTTCAGGCCCTCTATAATAATTGTATCACTGAGGACATTGCAAGTACAGAGGAATAAAGTATAATAGTAACCCCCTCCATCCATTTCAAACCAGGTTTTCTCCTCTGCTCATCTTTCTTTTTTAAAAAATTGTAACTTAGTTACCTGTTTTGTTCTGCCAACATGTTTCCTCAGATATGTGTGTGTGTGTTTGCACTTTCAAGTCACCTGTTGACATAACAGCAATCCCATTAATTTCATAAGGTTTCCTCAGGAAGGAATACTCAGAGGTGGCTTTCTGCTTCCTGCCTCTGAAATAAAGCATACAATACCCTGGATTCCTTGACAATCTCCCATCTCAGTACTAACTAAGGCTAACCCTGCTTAGCTCTCAAGCTCAGGCAGAATCTGGAGCCTTCAGGGTATTCAACAGGGTTAACTGGTTTAAACAATATTTTTTAAAACCCACTCTTTGTTTTCTAATTGATTATTCCATTTTTTTAAAAAAAGGCTGGCTGTTAAAGTATTGTTTATTTAAGGCAATGACCATAACGTCTGAACTGCATTTTGCTACTTAATTTTTTTATTTTGTCCCATATTGGTGTAGTCCTATACTCATATATAGGCTACCAACTTGTCAATATAATTCACAATGTTTTACTGAAAAGTGTAAATCATATCAAAGCCTAATAACGTTGGATTGTTAATGCTAGAACGCATTAAAATGGGTGATCAGGGTTTCTAATATGTAAAATAATGTTTCACAGAATTAACATAATAATCAGAATTCTTTTTTTATTTAAACAATCCCACTGAGTTTCTGGTTTGTTTGTTTTTTAAGCATAGCTTTTCCCCCTCAACTGTGGTATTTAGACCTTAAGTAGATCCCCCTAATTCAGTCTCATTTTAATATTTATTCTGTGAACACATTATGTGTGTTCACACCTCTTTTTGGAATGCTTCTTATCTTATTAACATTGCTTTAACTGACTTTTGTATTTAAAATTAATTAATTAAAATTTTAAAAAGATTTATGAAGTCTTGGTCACTGTAAATACTGTGGCAATTTATGTGGGAGATTTTCGCAGGATTTACTTCTAGTGAAGTGCTCGGAAGAAAGGCAGGCTGTTAAATAAAAATAACTTATAAAATACATTCTGTGATTGCATTTCTGAAATTTCACATATATGCTGATGGGCCTGACTACTATGGAATATATGGTATGTCCATGCTTAGGAATATTATGTGCATCCCCTTTTGCCTCATTTTAAGAAATATAGCCCAGAGTACAGAAGAAGGGCTTTGGTGAATCACTCTAGAAATCTTGTCTAGTCCAGTAGCCTCCTTCTCATAGCAGCCAGTCTGCAAGCAGACCTCAAAGCTGTTATCCTGTTCGGACATAATACTTTTCGGACATAATACTTGTACAGTTGACCAGTGTGTGTGGGTTTGACTTTTAAGTGTTGGCACACACTGGCTTCTACTTCCTCATTGTATGAGCAGATGTTATATTTTATGATAGTGCACTTGTGTAGTAGTGAGGTGAACACAGCATTCCAGTGGAGCTATGCTGGCAAGATTTTCCTTTCTGCAGGTTTTCATTTGGATTGTGGCCAAAGCAAATGTCTTCTCACACTTTTGGTTTAACTGGTATTCACATGGATGTGGCTGCTATTCTAGAGCAGTGTAGTTACTAGGCCATGCTAGCTGGTCTAAAAAAGGAAATACATTATTCAAACAGGTTTTTAGAGCTGATGGCTTTTAAGAAAAGGGCTAACAGGGTGGTTCTGTTTTAACTAGATTTTTCATTTTTTAAGGTATATGTTTTAAATTGTTTCATTATGGTTAATAATTTAATTCTGTTTTGATGTTGACTTTATGTATGTTTTAAATTGTATTGTAATCATATTAATTTGTAAGCTACCTTGAATACCAATCTTGGGGAAAAAGTGGGATATAAATGATAATTGAGGTAGTTTTATCCTCCATAAATGTGTCTAATCTGTTTGTAAAACTCTCTTAATTGGTTTCATCTGAAATAGGAAGGTGTTGGAGAATCTTTTCTGGAAGAAAAAGCTAAAACATTTGGGACTTAAGTGTGTGAAAAAAAGATGGGATATAGGTTGTGAAAGAAACATATATAAATGTATGGTGTGATGAAATCATACAGAAATGTTTGCCCATTCTCATAATACTTCTCATTGCGACACCTAGATAAATTAAAAAATAGATTTAAGACAGGCAGAAGCTAGTACATTTCCACATAAGACTGCTGGCAAAAGAAGGCTTTAAATTTTTTAAAAGAAATTCATAAATAGCACAACTTTCATTACTGTTGGTATCAGTCCTTAATGCCCTATCTGAATGTTGCTTACTACCTCTGGAAAATGTTGCTTACTACCTCTCAAACTACCTCTGTTTGAGAATTATAAGTATCCCTTACTAAACTTCAAACCCAAGGATTCCGTAGGATGCTGCCATGGCAGTTAAAGTGGAATATATTACTATACTTGTGTAGTATGAACAGGCCATGGGTCATGGATTAATAATAATGTTTGGCCATTAATACAGTATTTGAGTGTTAAAAGTCCTTAACAGATAGCAAGTTACAGTATTTCAATCTTCAAAAGCCCTGTGAGTATTACAGGAACCATATAAGGGCTGAGAACAACTGGCAGGTAAGTGTCAAACCAGATATCAGAAATCAATAAATTTAAAAATTAATGTATTTATTATTCTGCTATTCAGTAAACAAATCTATTACATAAAATGTAAAATTATAATTACACAATAAAAATTAATCAACAATTAAAAATAAGTGGTAGAGTAGATAACATTCTAGCACCCTACACTGCCTTTAGTCCAATGTTGTTGTGCGCCTTCAATTAGTTTCTGATGTATGGCAAACTTATCATGGTGTTTTCTTGGCAAGATTTGTTCAGAGGTTTGACATTGCCTTCTCCTGAATCTGAGAATATGTGAGTTGCTCATGGTCACCCCATTGAGTTTCATGGCTGAGCCGGGAATCGAACCCTGGACTCCAGAGTCATAGCCCAATCAATGCTCAAACCACTATGCCACGCTGGCTCATTAATATAGGGATGGTTAAATCTGCTGCTGCTTGTTAAATCTGCTGCTTCTGCATTTTGGTTTCACATTTTTGTAAATTCTGAACTGAAATGAATTTGATAGGATCCCTAATGTGAATCAGTTAATTTGAGCTCCTCTTGTGTTAGGTGCAGTTAACTGGGATCTGGATGCCCATTGTTTTCACTACATATGTTCTTCTCTCCCTCCACATCTCTTTGCCATCAAGGAATGCCAGAACCAGAAATGTGATGTCTATTGTTTTCACTATATATGTTCTTCTCCCCCTCCGCATCTCTCTGCCATCAAGGAATGCCAGAACCAGAAATGTGATGTCATTTGGATTGGAGCTACACTTTAATTTAGTGCCTGGGTAACTTGTGGGTAGTTTTGTTAACACCTATGGGCAGGTTGTTGTGTTAGGTAATGAAGACATTTTCTTTAAAGACATGTTAGCAATAACTTGGATTTTTCTCCCTTTTAAGTTGTGGCTCATTTGTGGGAATATATCTTAATTAAAAGTGTATTTTCACATTGCTCACATGCTGTTCAAATATCATTTAGTGATTTGGATTGTTTATTATTTTACTTACTGAATAGTTTATATGGTCCTTTGTAAGGATAATGTCACCAATTTGCCTAGCTTTCAAAATATCAATAAAACAAAACTCAACAGAACATAAATTAATGAAACAAGACAAAAATATTTTAAAAATCAGGAAATAAATGCAGACAAAACAAGCAACAGCAATAATAAGAAGCTTAGGTATAATAAAATGAGTTGTTAAAACTCCTGAAACTGTGCTGCTGGAAAGCCTATTGAACTACAGTTGGGAGTGCATTCTATAGTTGTGGAGTCATTGCTGAAAAAATAGAGCAGATGATGCAGCAGCAGAAATGCAACACAGAATAGGTTAAAAAGTGGTATAAGAATAACTGGATGATCTAAATGAATTTGTCTCAAGGCCAGATGAACTTCAGTCAAGATTATTAATCTTGAAGTAATCTGAGAATGAAAAGGGGGAAAAAAGAGGAATAATTACTGTCCAATCAGCCTGATACCAATACTAAGAAAGATTCTAGAGCAGATCATGAACCAGACAGTTTGTAAGCACTTAGAAGGACATTCTGTGATCATCAAAAGTCAACATAGGTTTCTCAAAAGCAAGCCGTGCCATACTAATCTTAGCTCTTTTTTTGATAGAGTTACAAGCTTGGTAGATGAGGAGAATGCTGTGGATGTAGTGTATCTTGGTTTCGGTAAGGCCTTTGACAAGCCCCCCCC